TAATCAATAAAACAGTGATATATGCACACCAAACTATGAAATGAAAACATCAGACCTCATACTGCATTTAAAACTGTAAAATAGGCCAAACAACAGCTGACCGACAAACACACCAGACTCGGACTCCATTAGCGACCTTAAACAATCTCACACATCAATTGATTCATGAAATACCGTTTTAGCATTTATTGAACTTTAATACCGTGATAGAAAATAGGGTGAGGGGTCCTTACTTGTTTTCGGGGTCTGAATACGGCTCTACAGTGCGCCTACAGGCTGTCCCTAATTTTCTCTGAATTTTTTCCGGGGAACTGAAACACACTACTGGTACCTGCACGTGTCGCAAAAAATCCCAAATTAGACCCGGGACCCCTTTCGGCCAATATCGCAATTCTGGCACGGTGGCTCCGGCGACGGTGCCGCCTCAAGCGGCGGCGATTCGCCTCGGGTTGGCCGTTTTCGGCCGTTTCTGGCCGAATTCGGCCATACTTGCATCAGTCCCTGCGATAAAACAACCCTAAGACCCTCGGGGGGCCAAAAAATTACGAAAAACCGAAGCTTACCGGCAGTGGTGCTCTCGGGTGCGGCGGCTCTCCGGTGTGGTTCATGTTTTGGTGATTTGGCTCCAATCAACCTGTAGAGAAAAGAATGGGGATCACGGTGATATAAAAATTGTATCAAACGGAGGCCGGGAAGGGCCTCATCGGAGGCAAAAACCGAGGAGGGGCGCGGCGGCGGCGCTGGGTTTCGGCCGTGTTTTTCGGCCTTTTGGCCGGGAGTTTGGCTCTGATTTGGCCACAGGGGAACTCAGCATTGAAAAACGAGCTGGGGGTATGAAATTTACCTCAATCGGCGGTCGAGAAACTCCCCGGTGCGGCGGCGGGTGGCGGCGGCCGGCGTCTGGTTCGTCTTCTCCGGCGAGGGCTGTCTGCTAGGGTTTTTGTGGTCAGATGTGGGGGGTTTATTTATACCCTTTGCCTCTTAATCACAGTCGTCCATCTTGATTTAATTTGGGTCGTTTGATCGCGATTTAATTTGGATAAAATTTGGGCCGTCCATCGCGATTAAATCTGGGCCGTCCGTACTTGATAGAATCTGGACCGTCCGTGCGCGTGCATCTGGGCCGTCCGTGCGCACGCTTGATCTGGGCCGTCCGTGCGCGCGGGGACGCATCTGGGCCGTCCGATCGCGCGCACGCGGATCGCCCACGTGGCCCGTTCCCGGGTCGGCGTGGCCTTGTCACGCGGCAAGTCCTGGTTGGCCAGGGCTGCTGACTGGGCCGCTGACGTGGCTGCTGACGTGGCGCTGACTGTGCACAATTTCTTTTAATTGCGTTTTGACCACCGGTTTTCGATTTTCTTTTCAAAAATACCCCCAGAATCCAAATTTTCACCCATTTTTCTCAAAATCAATTTCAATTAAATCCAAACAATATTTTTACCCAATTTTATCATTATTATTAT